GGAGTCACCGTTTGCGGTCTTGGCGTTCTCCTCAGCCAAATGTCTCGGCACCGGTGGCAGAATAGGGCCTCCAGAGAAAGCCTTGCTAAAGCGAAGCTGGTTAGCCGTCATGAGGTCGGCTAGACTCTTCTGCTCCTTGGCACACTTCTGTTTCTCGCTGATCCACCGCTGAGGCCCGTACACGTTCTCCGCATTGGCTGCACCCGGCTGCAAGCCCAGACCAATACCCTGGGAGGGAGAGAGAGAGAAGTCTAGAGAAGGAGAGAGCGACGAAATCTGACCAACATTGGCCAGACAAAAAGAGTCACAAGTCAGGAAGGTGTCCCTGGGACTCTCAGCTACTGACGCTGTGTCGGAAAAGAGGCTGAATTTTTCAAGCCTACGGGACGATTCGATGCAGACAGTGAAACAATTGCAACACTGAGCCGCAGGCCGCCTCTGACTGTTCGTCACCAATTAAAAAACTTGAACACATGAGATTGGCAGAAAAAGCATATGGCCCTCTGACCCATTAATCATAGTCACCGATGGCCGGAAAGGAGGAACCTAAGCACTGTGCAGCAAGGGAAGGCAAAAACTATTACAAGGTTCCCGCTGGTAATAAAAATCGCCGTGACTGACTGTGTACAAATCCACAAGTCAATAGAAGCGAAGAGACGAGTCCCAGGAAGCAGTCTTGAAGAAAAAGACACGATTGCTGGGACAAGAGCTTTATTAGCCTGACGTTTCGGATTCCTGCGCGAACATATCATCAGAGACAACAGAAAATACGGATGCTTCATGCATAAGGGGCTGCAGTATTTATAGAATGCAGTCGCCATGCTGCCGCATACCTATGAACATTCACGGCTCCCCCCTTCATCCGGGATCGTCGCACTTGATGTGCTACTTGTTCGATGGCCGACATACGCGTCGTTAATTGCTGCAATTTCACCACGTGCGTTGGATGTTGGTGTGATGATTGCTTGACCATCTGACCCACCGACCCTGCCGTTGGGAACAGTGTTCACCTGTGCGCTCCCCGCGTGGCCAACAACTCCGCCCAGGCGAAGTCTCAGCATCGAGTATGGAAGGGAAAGATCATTGCACTTGGTAATGGACTGGTGGCCAGTAAACCATGAATCAAGCAGCTGCCGGCTCACGCGGTTGTCACCACCAGCGAGAATTTCGGCCTCATCGAATCTGAATGTGTGGCCGGATCTCGTCGAATGAGCCGCAACTTGAGAGCTGGCGTCATTTCTCCGCACCGCTGCAGCGTGTTCGGCCATTCGCGTTTGGAGTTGTCTTCCGGTTTCTCCGACGTAGTTGCTTTGTCCGCAACTGCACCAGATCCGATAAACGACTCCAGATGTTTCTTTCCGTGGTAGTGGGTCTTTCGGTTTCATTATCCGACGCCTGATAGTTGCCTCTGGTCCGTGTGCAACACCAACCCCAAGTGGCGCGCGAAGACGGCCGACAGCTTTCGAAACGTTCTTGACATATGGAAGCGTTCGCCAAAATTTGGTATCCGTGCGGCTAGGCCTTTCGTCCCTTTTGCGTATGCACCGGTGGACGAATGTGCGCGGGTAGTCATTGGCTTTTAAGACCCGTCGGAGGTATTGCAGTTCTGCAATCTTGTCTTCCGGCTCATTGCAGTGCGTTTCGACACGCAGATAGAGCGTCCTTACACAACTGCGTTTGTGGTTGAGTGGGTGGTCGCTGTTGAAGTTCAGTACTTGCGTCGTATTTGTCGCTTTCGTGAACACTTTGGTCGTTAGTCCACCACAATCCTTGCGGCATACGAGGACATCCAAGATGTCCTGGATGAAACTTAAAGGGGTAAGCCTCCATCCAAATGAGATCATGGCATCTTTTGATGTTCGCCTGTACGCTCCACCCCTATTTGCTATTGTCTCTGATGATGGGTTCGAGCAGGAATCCGAAACGCCAGGGCAATAAAGTTCTTGTCCCAACGATCGTGTCTCCTTCAAATCCACAAGTCTACTTATGAGCACCCGAGGTCGCTGATAAATACACCTCAGCATGAGCAGATCCATTTCGGTGAGCACTGTCTTCTTTCCTGCGGTGACACCGTGTGACCGCACTTTTCTGCCCAAAGGCTGAATGCATACTTTAATTGTCCACGACCTTCTGTGATAATCTACCAAAGGGTACGAGTTCGGGTGGATTTCAAGCTCTAATGCGCAAAAGGTCGGGGCGAAATAGTCATTCATTTGCTAGTGCCTTGAACTGCCACAAAAATCGTTTCAAATTAGCGTCTTACCATCGAGGGAAGTCCCAAAATTCATGGGGTATTTCCCCTGTCATTCGAAAATAACCCCTAAGCTAACTGTAGAATTTGGTAGAGCAGTGACTTTCCTTGCGGTGGTGCTAGAGTGCTAGTGTTGCGACGTTAAGTTCGTGTTTTAACAACCAGACAGGATGATTTACTGTCGTCAAATATACATAATGCATTTCATAGGGACAAGGTCCTTAACTCCTGGACGAAGAGGTAGTGAATTAACTGCGAAGGACACTCGTGTTTAATCATAAAGCTGGCCTGACGCACAACCGAATGCAAGTGACATTTCAGCCACCCATTTGTTGAGTTTCCCTGAAGTAGAAGACTGGGAAAGAACTTCTTCTTTTCCACCGAATAAATTGTACGTTCCTACATATGCTATCTTTTTTATGGACACTTTTGTCGTCTACTTTACAATTTTTGTTTGTCTCGGAAAATTACGTCCTTCTGTTTTCCACAACCCTCCTGCCATTTGTTCGAACCTCCCGTCTTCTTCCCGCGTAATTTGATACTGCCTTTCTGATTATACGCCACACTTTTCCGACTGTACGCCATACCTTCCTGCCTGTACGCCCAGAGACATTAGCTTGTGAGTGCAGTATTTAAATGTTGCTAGACATGACACATTATAGAACCGTGTTTCCGTCCAAATCTGCCTATTTACACCGTTTCCACGTACGGGCGGCAGGAAGTAAGCCAACTCAGACGAATTAATCTAGACAGGCTATAAAGCAGGTCGGTTAAACAGACTTGGTGGGAGTTACGCGAACGGGCCAACAGAGGGCGGTCGAATATACTCCAAATACCTTTTAATTATTTTAATCGAGTTCAGCCAAGTTCGTCCGGGATGTTCTAAACACTGGTCGTCAGGCAGTCGTCCAAGAAACTTCTCCAGTTGTGTACGGCATGCCGGCGAACGGATAGGAGTCAATTCAATAATGCACACGGTCGACAGGGCTGGGAAATTCCGTTCTACGTTCCCAAAAGATGCTCTTTCGACCGTTGCAAGGGTAATGACTGACTAACTCGAAAAACTCGTGGAACTATATCCAGCTGTAGTCCCGATCTAAACCGACAGGGCAACGGGCTCGTGACCCAGTGGTTAGAGGCGCGGACTTCTAACTAACAGGTCGCGAGTTCGAGCCTCGGGTGTTCCACACTTCGGGTTTGGGCATGACTAGCTGACGACGACTAATAAGCCAGAAATGGCCATTGCGCCCTGCAATGAGGCCGTCGACTAAACCTCACCCACCGGTACCCCCCCCCCTCTCCCCGGTCTTAATGCACATGGCCTCATTCCATCCTATACACACCTCTGGTGGATAAACTATTACTATGTTCTCCTGACTAATGGATGTGCAATGCGCACAAAAGACAGCCTAAGTGGCAAGTCTTGGAAGCCACTGCCGGTTACACGTCATGAGGAAATGTCGTAGGATGGCGGGCGGCCAATCGGCGCTCAGGAGTTCTGATCACGTGTTCGTGACCTTGGATGTTCGCTTGTTACGCGCATGTCGCACAATCTCTAGGACTCGACAGTTCCGACGTCCAGAATGAGTATATCCACCGTGTCCCACAGCACGGCAGACGCAGGACAATGATTTGCGAGTGAATTAGCCTGCAGTGATGGCAGATTTGAGCAGGATAGGACGCATTGCCTTCTTTCGCACCTTTTTGGGCCCGGTAGCAAGAAAGACTCAGAGCGGCCGGAGGCGGGGTCGGGTATGGAGGCTGGCAAAGCTACGCAGTCAGTCCACGCGGACCACGTAGGCCACATCCGCATAAGATGGACCAGGTTGCCGCAGAGACACGGAGGGGGGGTGGGCGGCTCGGACCCCATTTGACTGGGAGTGCTATAGTGGCCACATTCAGAAGGAGCCATTAAAACCTAACTCTTTGTCCTAAGGAAACTGAGTTACCCAGTCAGTTGAAAACCTTCAAGCCATGACTTTTAGCGCGTCATTATAATTTCGAAGCACATCAGATTGTTTATGGTGAGGAATGCGCTGGAGTGGCAGTGGGGACGGAGTCTCCAGGGCCGACCTTACTCTCTCTCCCTTCGCTCACCGACGCACCAGTTCACTGTCCAAGTCGGCCGACGATATGATACTGGGATTGGGCGCAAACGGCCGGCGTGGTGTGAGCCTGCGCCTAGGAGTGTCAACAACACCCTCTTCCATGTTTGGTGCGTATTATGGGATGCGCCCTGTATGAGGGAGAGGGAGAGAGTGTGGGGACGGGGGAAAGAGAGAGGGTTGGAAAGGGAAGGAGAGGTCGAGAGAGGCAGAAAGGGGGGGGAGGGGGAGAAGGAGGGAGAGGGCCGTCGTTACAACCCACAGAAGACCAGAAGCCCCAATCGCTCGTGGCGAAAGGATGAATGATCGAGAAACATAAACACAAATGCACCCCTAGCAAAATAACGTAATAAGCAATCAGCGCAGGCGCGTTACATAATGAGATACGCCGTAGACACGTAGCTAGTTTTGGAGGTTAGAAGGATGAGCGCGCCCAGGAACCCGATATTAACTCAAAAATCTCTCATAACAGGCAAAAGGGTCCAAATAGGCCAGAGAACGACCTTCCCATGTCAATGAAGCTAAATCTGTCTGAGGCGAGGAGTACATCTGCTCCGCCGCCGGCTTTTTCCCTACTTTTTACGTCAACAGTTCCACTACTTAGGAGCATACGCAGAAACTTACATCACCGTTGACAGTGGCTTTGCACGGCCTGGCATCACTGCGCGTCCTACTCTTTCTGAAACGCCTTGGAGGTTCGCCTTTATCTAAAACTGCAAAAAATTAGTGTTCAGTGTCCTGTCGTTTGAAACAGACCAGTCTTTTTTGTTAAAGACAAAACACTCACGTTGGTTGTCTCCATGCGGGTCGTTGTGACCTATCCTATACTGCCTTTGTAGCATGCGGTTGAACTCGCGCTTACTTTCATCGTCTAACTAAAGGAAGATACAGAAATCAATCAAAGCTAAATGGGTGAATTAACAGTGAGAGGGGGGGCAAACAAGTTGATAATCCGTTTACCAAAACCGCAGAAAAAGAAATGTGAGGGAAAATAAACGAAACGTTGAAAGGAATGCGCGAAACTAGAACTCCAAATAGAAATTCTGAAAGAGGAATTGCAACGGCTCCTTTTACCGACACAAGAACTGACTCATCCAACTCCTCGAAGGCCTCTTTTAGTTCCTCCAAATCAAGATCCTTCTGGTCAAATAGGTCAGAAAGTTCATTTAAACGTCAAGTGACTGAACAACATGAGAATACAAGTGTCTTGGTTTTTCACGATATTTGTCCAGAGACGGATAAGAGACAAAATTAATGCCAAACAGGCAACAAAGGGATCTGGTAATATCGTACTAGTCATGAAAAAAGCATTCCAAATAATAAAAGATTGAAAACCTGATGTAGAGCTTCGCCGGAGCACGCTTATTTAAGCCAAACTAGGCAGTAATGTCGCCGAAATTTTTGTCACTGTTGGAACGCCGAATCTTACATAATCGCAACCGGTACTCAACCCTGAACTCTTTCTTTCAAGGGAGATTGCGCCCACTGTGATTGGCCGCTAAGTAAAAGTGACGTCAACCCAGCAGTGGTTGGGGCATAATTGACTGATTTCAACTAAGCATCCAGAAATTGCTATTTTGTGTACTTAAATTTTGTTTTAACACTTTTAAAGACTTAAAATAATGGAAACTATAGAATCATACAGTTTGGTTGTTTATCCATGACCCTAATGTTTCGGAGAACATATTGTCCCATATAAGAGTGCTACTGAATTCACTCCAGTAGCAAAGTAATCACGAGTATTTTCTCAGTAGTGGGAAAAGATAGGCGCAGGGGTCAGGCAGACAAACGGATAGAGCAATGTGCGTTGATACACAACACGAGCTTTACCATGGGTCCAAGAGGATCGCTGACGATTCCTGCGAAGGATCCCAGTTGCTTTCGTCGCCTTCTTTCCTCCTAAAGAATGGAATAGGAGGAAGGAAACCATAAGAGGGATCAGCAGCATTTCACGCGCAGGTGGTAACAGATAATTGTTATGCAAAAACACTGCTTAAAAAACTTTTACAAGACGTGGAAAACTAAGAGAAATTGCAGTACGCACTCTCTTCCCTGCTTCTGGAGGGGTTATGGCCCGTCGAGGATGAGATACCGCAACCACAGAGGCTTTAAGTGAAACTCACAAGAAAGACCTTATTCCATGGGACGGGCTTTTTGCTTAGCGATAGTGGGTTTCCTTGATTTGAGTGTTTAGACACAGATCTGCATCAGACATCTTTAATTAAGTGAGAACTCTCTGAAAAAAGCGCAATCAGATAAAATATTCAATTAATTTCAGAGGACCGCATTCCCTTGTGCTTTAGTGGGTGAAATTTCTGAAGGACACGATCACAACATGGTGTAACAGCCGATATAAGACAGCGGTAGGCCTCCAGTTATGTATGGAAGTACCTATGGAAAGTGCAAATTTAGCGGAATATCAGGTTAACGTTCACACTCACGAATCCGACTGTATTTTGTGTCCTCGAACTATCCAAAGATCGTTACTCCGCGGCTCCATGGAATAAATGCGGGATGATAGGCTCGTCAGTGGGCCCACGAAAGCTCCCCATGTGCTCCCTTTAGTCCCAATAAAATTGCCAAGTGGCATTTTGTAATAAAGTCACAACTTATTAGGCGATAATGCATGTCCGTGTAACGTGCTGTTGTGACGCTGAATATTACAGCCTACAGTCGACAGAGCACGGACTGCAGGCTCGAATCTCTGGTTCACTTGACCGGGGCCAGGACCGGCTGATGGCACTCACTCGAGCCCGAAACCGCTACTTCCCCTCATGCACACCTTCCTCTGTAGTTTTTCATCAGAGGTTATGTTAAGAAAGAGTTCAGTGCTTTAGAAAACTACGGCGACAGGATACAAGAATATGAACTCCCGTACTATCGGTAACTTTGCGCTAAATCTCACAGAGTGCCTATTACAGTGTCGTAACTTTAACCCTAATACTAACCCCTCGGGGATTTACGACAAAACTACCTGTCATACGAGGAGGGGGGTTCATACTTCCGTGCCTGACGAAAACTGATAGCCCAGCTGGACCAAAAGTGCGATTTGTCTTTAACAAATGTCAAAGTACAGGATGTGCAGCCTTCGGTCCTGTCCTGTGGACACTTGTCTCCACAAATATTAAGGTAAATATGAGAGCTGTTTCCGTGCTCCTGACATCCACAAAGCTAGTCTAAACATCACAAGCAGGGACAGAAAAAATCGTAAAACCGAATTTCCGAATTTTTATTTATTTCCATCACGCCGGTATATCTGCATCAGAAGGAGATACGAAACCTCCGTATTGCAGTCGGCCTTGTACTAACTTCCGAGAAATTAGGGTTAAAAGTAGATGCGATCGCGGGAACAGGAGCCTCATTCGCCTGACGTTACGGATACACGCTGGACCCCAGTATCAGGAAGGGTATCAGGTACAGGTACTTCACACACAGGAGGTTTCAATATCTATAGGATGCAGTCGCTATGCTACTGCATACCTGTGACACTTAACGGCGCTTCACAATTCATCGAGGATAGTTGCTCCTGGCGCGCAAGCCGTTAATTGCTGAACTTTCATCACCCGTGTTGGATGCTAGCGTGATGATGGCTCGGCCACGCGGCCCACAGGCCTGCACGCTCCTAAAGCGGTTAATTACTCCGACCAAAGTAAGCCTATGGGGTGGGGAGGTCATTGCACTTGCTAATATATTGGGGTCCCATGAACCGTGAATCAAGCGACTTGCGCGATTATCCCCTCTCGGGAGAGTTTCGACCGCGTCTAACTTGGATGTGTGGTGGAGTCTCGTCGAATGAGCCGCGACTCGGGTGCTGGCATAGTTTATCCGCACTGTTGCCGCGTGTTCAACCATTCTCGTTCGGAGCAGTCTCCCGGTTTCTCCGACGTAGCTGCTTTGCCGGCAACGGCATCAAATCCGATAAACGACTCCAGATGTTTCTTACCGTGACAGTGGATAGTTTGGTCTCATTATCTGGCGCCTAACGGTTGCCTTCGGTCTGTGTATGACTCCACATTCAAGTGGTGCGAGAGGGCGCCTGATGGCCTCCGTGACGTTCTTAACATACGAAATCCCTCACCAACATTTGCGATCGGTGCGACTGTGTCGCTCATCTTTTTTGCGCATGCACCAGTTGACGAAATTGCGCGGATATCTATTTTCCCTGAAACCCCGTCTAATTTATTGATATTGCTGATAGAAACGAACAGGAGAGTTCCAGATAGCAGTTCAGAAGACGAAGAGGTGATCACTGGAACAACAAATTTATTGGCCTGACGTTTCGGATTCTCACTCGCACCCACCATCAGAGACAGTCGCAGATAAGGGCACTGGTGTCACAAAGACTGCAGTATTTGTAGTACGTAGTTGCCGTGCGGCCAGATGAGTAATATAATCAACAGCTCTAGCGATCACCGTTAGAGGTCGTAATTGAGGCGTGATGGCTCGCCAGTCCGCGTCCGAGCGTTAACTGCCGCAATTTCATCATCCGTGTTGGATGTTGGCGTGATGATTACACGGCCATTTGGCCCGCCCATGTGAACATGGAGAAAGTCAAAGGTGGTGAACGCACCTCTCTGATTATTCATCGTCAGGGCAGCACAGTAATTCATGTCACAGTCGAACGGAAGAAGTTGAACAACAACCAATGCTCCACCGAGATCTATATTCTTGTACTAGCCTGACGATAAATAGTCGAAAACACACGTTGCCAACCAAGACGGGTTACTTGAAGATCTGGGGTACATACCAGAAACCAAATGGGGGAAAGTCGGGGGGGGGACCAAATTATGAGGTGAGCACCTCATAACTGCACCATACAGCAGCAGATACCCCGGCAAAACACGTGTATGACCACCTAGCTAACACGTGTTTATGTTCTAGTTCATGGTTGCATGTAGTTTTTTTTAAAATCGCTCATAACTGACGTTCTGTTCAACTGAATAGACATTTCACCATTGTGGATGCAGAAGAAAACGTGCCTGCTCAGATACTCCATAGTTAACTGGCCTGCCTTTGAATCTTAGGTCGGCGCCGACTGGGGTACAGGCCCGGCTTTTCAATGATGGCATTACCGGCAAAGACAAGGGAGACTGAAATGGCCGTTTCTGATTTGTCAGCCGTCATCGGCCAGTCATACCCAACCCCCCCGGCTGGATCCCTCGACCTGTTGTTTAGTAGTCCAACGCCTCTACCCATTGAGCCACGGGCTTGTTATCTTGTTGGTTGCTATCGGGAATGCACAATAATAGAGGGGCGCGCAGAAATAGCCATTCTAGTCTCCCTTGTCTTTGTTGGCAATACCATTCTGTCCATATAACGTCCCACTGTGCGACTGCTGGTTTGGCTTGAAAGAGAGTCCTAAGACACAACGGGATGAGTGAGTTCCGTAAAAACGATGGGTAACGTCTCTCTACCAATGATAGCAAATAAGATAGAAATTATTAATCCAATGTCCGTAAATATTTCTTCTGCATGAGTTTCTACATTTCAAATGCGGAAATAACTTCTCTGGAACTGATTAAGCAGCCTCGAAATCGTCAAGTTTTATTGACAAAAATTGGGGCAACTGAAATGGAAATTCCTGGATGATTTCAATCCTTAAGAAGTTACATTCGGACGCCAAGTCAAGATGATTGCTCGCTGGAATTTTGGCGCGGCTGGTTCTTGAGTCAGACGCTACCATCGGAGTCTGGGGTTCATGCCTCGTTTGTCTCCATCGAAAATGTCCGAAGTCACGTGCGCTCTACTGCAGTAGGTTGTGTCTGAAATCAGGCCGTTGGTTCGACTGGCAGAGTGACTGAATAGTGATCAACCGGATCCAGGTTGAAACCTCGGGCATTCTCAGCTTGGGATAGAGCCACGGATGGATGAGGACGGTCAACATCTTATAAACGGTCGTTCTCTCCTGCTCTGTCACGGTCGATAGGAATCATCCGTTACTACCTGGCCGATGCAATGTCATCTCCTACGAGCAGAGCTACGGAGATAAACTAAGGCCGTAATACCGTCCTGCCGTTAGGCAGCATCAGCAAACACCACCCCCGCGTGACAAGTTAGATGTTTCAGGTATTGTTTCTCAAGGGGGAGAATAAACGAACTCGGTCCTTTTATATCAATTTCCTTTTAGCAATTCATAAAATTGAACAACTCTTTTCCTCAGTTTTTCGTTTTAAATAAAAAAGTCTCTTTTTTAACGCAACTCTAAATCATGCTATTGTTAAGAGTGCGGTAAACTGAGCGATGCAGTTCGTACATCAGTTTTAGGAGGAGAAAGCGGATGGGAGGTAGCGCGATATAGGAATAGGAAATCCCTTGTAATACAGATGGCATTGCGATGGATCTCAAGAGGGGTACTTATTCCTGTGTCCTGATCCTAACCCGAGCTCAAACCTTCATCCTAACCCTAATCTCGCTGGAATTTAGCGCCAAAATACCGGTAATACGGGGGAGGGTCTTTTTTCCCGTGAACTACTGGAAAAGGTAATGCAGAACGCATGTAAAATGCTGAAGGAGGGCCAGGAGGGGACGTGATTGGAGAACTAAAGACATCAGCGAGGTCAAGACAAGCTGAACTAAAGGGGGGAGGAAGTACGAGGCAATTATCGGGAGCCAGATGGGCGTAAGTTGGGTCATCGATACGGAAGGTCTCTATGGAAGTCTTCTCAAGTTGGACGGTAGTTGCTTCTGCAGTCCATAGGATGCGCCCTCGCAGTTCGATAACAAAATAAATTACTTGGAAGGCCCTGCCAGAGTTCATCAGACAGGCTGTGTCGACAGAATGGACCAGGACAGAACTAGAAAGAACCTTTTCTGTTCAAACCTTAACGCCATTTGTGAATATGTACACTTCGAGGCCACACGTCGTTAATCAAGAATAAACCCAAAATCTGAATGAAGACTTTGCATTTCTATAACACGATCCTCACGCCCATGTTTCACGTGGCTAAGCCTCGTGTCCCAAAATAGTCGGGACGCGAGGGCTCCCAGTGGAAGGGTGGAAACGTAGGCACATGAGACAAGACTGAAAAACGCTTTGGTAGGAGGCCGCTCACCGATCGCGCTATGGAACTCACTCGTCCCGTTGGGCCTTACGGGATCTCTCTCGAGGCCCACCAGTAGCCGCACAGCGGCACGTAATATGGGTAGAATAGCATTACCGACAAAAGGAGACTAAAATGGCAATTTCTGGCTTATTAGCCGTCGTCAGCCAGTCAGACCTAACTCCGAAGTGTGGAACACCCGGGGCTTGATCCTGCTGGTTAGAAGTCAAACGCTCTACAAGGATAAGGCCTCCGCGGCTAGACCAGAATGGGAGTGTACTTGGGTGACCTCCCCACTTAAAATGCTGCTGTTCCTTTCGTACTCAACCCACTTTTCGGTCAAATTTTATCCCATCAGACAGCAGAAGTGTCAACTGAGCCCTCATCACCCAGAAGGAGCAATTTCGTCATTCCACGCGACTATCTTGGACAGCGAACATGTGCTACCCTGATAGAGGGGCACTCACCGATCGTTTCTAAGGAACTCACTCATCCCGTTGTGCCTTACGGGCTCTCTTTCGAGCCCCACCGGCAGCCACAAAGCGGTGCATGATAAAGGCAGAATGTGCTACCCTCCAATGTCATGGCATGAATGCCTTCCAGCTAGAGCCTGGGATTGATTCTCTGACCAATCCGCTAAGATGGATTCTAACCAATAGGATCACATCACACAAAAACATTCTTGTTCGACTGAGCTGCTGTGGTGACCATTCCAAGTGTCTAAAAGGGTTGGGAAATACACTGGCCATTCGTGCCAATTCGAAGCACAAACCTCAGAAAGGTCACCTATTGCGTAGCAAACAACCAACTGTAGAAAAATGAATTTCTATAGGGACACTTAATTTACACGCATTTAAATTAAATTAAATCCGATAGTGAGGTGAATGTACGTGTCTACTACATAACAGTGCATTTAGAAGTATTTTGAAGTACACTTATCGGGTGCGTCCGCGTGTGGGACCCGATAGCATTGGGTGAACTTACATGTGCTTTTTTCGGGGGTGCATCTAGTTTCCTTCTGTATCAACAAGCAACTGAGGTTACGTCTTCTGACGCAAGCAAACGAGAGTGGCTTTATTTTTTTCGGACTAGGTAATCATTAGCTGGTTACTCTCAGCAAACAGGTATATCTCGGTAAGACATCTCTGTTGCCGAAGAGACGGCTTTCCTTGGCACCATAGCGACGGACTTACCGCCCTAGCAACCAAGATGGAACGCGATTTCCGAAGGTCAAAATATCAAGCACGGAATAAACGCGAGCTAGAGACGGTACGGCACAGATGCGTTATGCACGAAATTGGCAGAAATGAATTGGCGGTGGGAGTTTAACGAGCATTTCAAGTCATGCAAGGAAGAAAAGAAGGAGTCTGCTTGTGTAAAAAAACGGTTCCTAACATAAATGTACGATTCTTAGGCGAAATTTTTAGGATGACTACCAGTTACAGTGAGCATAGACATTATGTAAGTCCCAGAGGATGAAACCGTAAATTTATGCCAAGTGGTTCTAGTTAGGTAGGTTTCTGTTAGCTTCCTTGCTGAAATGAAGGTCAAGGTTTTCTTCTTTAAAAGTTTTACTTAAAAAGCGGAGCATTCGACAGTCCAAAGATGTACAGTCCCATGTTCAATTCCATAAGACCCTCCACAGACGTAAGAGCATCCTAATATTGGTAGGTTTAGCAATCTTGCACATAGGCTATTTCGATTGTTCTAACTAATAAGAATAAGGATTTATTCTCATCTGGTAGGGGTATCGTCAAAAAGATCTACAATTCGGAGACTCGAACCTGGACACTCGGATGAGCGAGACAAACCTCTGTTCACCTAGGCTATCTAATATCGTTCTCTTGAGCAAAGGAACAAAAATCAAAAAGCAACCTTCTAGGGCATAATATGAACTGAAAAGCTTAATCACTACGTTCATGAAAAAGTGTTTTTAAAAAGATAAGAATTCCTGAATTTTCAGCCGAAATTTGCCCTGTTTTAGATGACCCGATCACCAACTAGGTTTTTTTCTGAATGGGATAGGCCTAGATGCTTGGAAAGGCCACTGATAGATAACAGCAGTCCAGTACATTCTCTGTGTCGGTAGTCGGTCTGAAAGTTGGTTACCCGCGGACAGAGGCCCAGACTATGCCGCATTTCTGCTCTGGTTGTGGTTTTTTGTGCTCAGTTCAGTCTTAGCTACTGTCATTTCGGTCTAAAAATTGGCGGCTGAGTAACTTTCCATTGGGTTAGTAGTTGATGCCGATTCCAGGCCTTAAGGCAATGTGGGGGAGTCTAGCAACATGATTGATAATGTAGGAGGATTGAGGGAAGTCTGCGACTATGCAACTCACCATATTTGTGGATGAAAAGTTAGAAAGACCAGCTATTACGATGGGAGACGTCTGGGGTCGCGTACCGAACCTGGTGCGGTTGTGCGCAAGGCATCTATGCCGGGTAAACCGGCGGACTACTCTGGACACGGATGGCTGGACTTGCTCCCAAGTAACGGCAAATTCGGTGGCAGTAGGTCAAACCTTCGGAGCTGAAACTGTCTGAACAGAGCAACTAGCAGTTTCAGGAGCGCGCGAGCGAGTACTGCTTCCGGTGATAGTATCAGAGAGCCGTATTGTCGCGACAATAACCAACACGGATGGTAAAATTGCGACTATTCACAACTCGGATACGGGCGATCAGGCAACCATAACACATGATCCGATCATCGGCAATTAGAGCGGGCGGGTGGTCGCACGACAACCGCAACTCAAAAATACAATGGCAGAAGGGTGTGCTCACTGATCGTTCTTACGGAAACCACTCGTTCCGTTGTGCCTTACAGGTTCTCTCTCCAGCTTATATCATGCGCCGCTGTGCGGCTGCTTGTTGAGCTCGAGAGAGAGCCCGTAAGGCACAACGGAACGGTGAGCGCCCCCCCCCCCCTCTACCATTGTTTATTCCCGCTCGAAGCCGACAGGACAACAGATCCCTGGCCAGGGGGTTAGAGGCGTGGACTTCTGACTAACAGGTCGCGTGTTCGAGCCCCAGGTACTCCGCAATTCGGGGTTGTCTATGACTGGCTGGCAACGGTTAATAAGCCTGAAATGGCCATTCCAGTGTCCCAGAAATACTGCACCTTTGTGCGTCCATTGGTCCCATCCACTATTGGCGCTGATGATGAGTTTGAGAGTGAATGCAAAACGCGAGGCGAGTAAGATTTTTGTTCCAACTATCAGGTTGTCTTCTTTTTATAAGTTTCCGAAAGTCTGCCTCGGTTCACAGTACCAGAGGTTTTGGCAAAATTCACCAAGTTAGCGGCGAGACTGGTTTTTATCCTTCTAATTGAGGCGCAGAATAGTCTAAGACAATTATCTCATGATGCTTTTGGGATTCATATTGTGCTCCTGGAAGAGGCTCCTGTTCCAAGTGAGGATAATGGAGCAGATGAACGCAGGCAAAGACTGCCAGCCGTAATACAAGTAAAGTTTTATACTTATTATTCTTAAGGGCGAACGTCTCAATCCGGACGACATATGCAAATATTTAGGTTCATATTTTGTGAGTATCGGTACCAGCTGAAGGGAGCAGACGTGTCTGTGGGTCGGAGTAGAATCTGTATTGAGGTTTGCGTTGACGGAATCCCAACTTGCTAAGTAGGGCAGCGGACCAAATCTCATGCAGCGGAGAGTCAAATACACTTCTTTTCAGCCAAACCTTAGCACTATACGATGTGAATGTTTACATGAGATCCCGCTTTTTTGAGTTGTCCACAACACGTAACCTTTAGCTACCGCTTTTGGCTATGCCACCGTTTTTGAGGGCCCTGGAATAGAGCGTCAAAGCAAATCGGAACGCTGTATTTCGTTCTACAACCAGGGCAGGTTGGTTAATACCGCTCCGGTTGGCGAAAGGGGTGTAAGCTTGAAAGCTAGTCAAAACGTACCCTCATTCGGCGGACGCGCTGAGCTTTGCAAATCTCCTCCAGACTTTGGCGCAGGGCGCACTGTCTTGTCCGTTCCACCTCGAGAGCCTTTTCAACGACAGCCTGTGCAAAAAGATCGACCAGGGCGTGCTTCTGCTCACGTTTGACCTGTGTAAGACGGTATTCGCTTTCAGAGAGTACTTCGCCATCCTCCGTGATCTGGCACAAAGGTAAAGTGAAGGAATAGGAATAAATATCAACAAAGACGGTTAAACAGTTAAAAAAACACCTCTATGGGTCCGCCAATATCTGGTTTTATGGTAGCAGCTTAATGTAGCAATTAGAAGGTGCAACCCTCCCCATAATTAGCCCCAAATTGTGGTTGAGCTAAGTAGACGATATGTTTGTTGCCACCGAAAAAGACCAATTAGAACTGCACCACAGAACCTCAACCCCACTTTTCCAGGAATCCAATTTGCCTTCAAAACAGAGATGAACAAATAACTCCCATTTATGGACGCTCTCATACACAGAAGAAATGACGGAATGTTGAAAACTCCAATTTGTCGTAAAGATACGCATTCTGAGGTCGGCTTACGTTTCGGGAGCAACCCTCCCATCTCGCAAAAACGCAGCTCGACTAGCAGTTTACAAAGTCGGGCTAAAATAAACTGTTCCGATGAAAAAATTTACTGAACAGAAATAAAGCATCTTCTTGGACTATCTTCTCCGGAAAGGATATCCTGCTGGGTTTGTCTGTCGATGAATGTATGGCAGTTGGCCAACGACCTCAGTTTGGGCACAGTTGTCAAAACGATTTTAAGATAAGTTTCTGTACTTTTTACGCTTTCGCATTGCTTGACTTCACCGACATGGATGTCACAGGAATGAAAGTCTTCATGAAGTCACATGCTGACAGGCCGGTCATTGACAAAGGTCTGATTTTCTAAAATTAATGATCATTTTCACACTCTGCTTCATTAGGCTTAAGCGAAAAACATCAATTTTCAGATTTGGCATGATTTCGTTTTTCGTAAAACTGTCAAGTTTGAGTTACTCTCTTCCGCACGAACATGTGAACCTAGGTTGGGACGGCTATTAACCTAGGGAGCTGTCTGAATGTAAGGTAACGGAGATTTTCACTGAAAATCGCAAACGCTTCGTTTTATAAAATTAAGTAAACATATATTCTGCATATCCCTGGACGAGTTAGGCGAGTACGAAAAATGCGCAATATTTTAGGTGTCTGGAATGATAATTACGATGCCCCTCATCATGTTTCCTGAGTTAGGTCGTATAATGTAATTGGTGATAGTGGATGCTTAAACTGAGATAAAAAAATTTATTTTTAGAGTGCAGTGGGGAGTTAGCTGCAAAAACTTAACTGAAAAGATTTAGAGTATAGCATCAGTCTCGGTAATTGACACTGACGAAGGTAGATGACTAGCCGGATAAGCGGGAAAGGAATACGTACGGCGGTCCTTACTTGGACAGAGGCTTGAAGAGCTAGGCAGATATTCTGTGGTAATGGTAATTTAATTACCAACTTAAAAATCAGCTATGGGGTCGCTTATTCTCCTAATGACTTCCCAAAGGGGTTGCATAACAAGTATCCTAGCAGTCCTCACACAGTTTGCCGTAACACGTATTAAGAACACGAGCGTTTTACTATCTGGTTGAAGAAACCGTTTGAGTCGGAAATATACCGTAGGCTCGACTCTGTTATCTATACTAAGAGATCCGACCGCATTTCGTTATACTACAGACATTATTCCTCTTTCATACTTACACCTATGGGTATGATTTCTAAAAAAACTAAATTGCCCTACATATTGTAAAAACGCCCAAAAGGAGGTTACTTAGCGTGATTTGACTGCCCGTGTATTTAGAGTCAAACAGCTTTTTGCTTCCAAGAGTAAAAAAAATGATAAGTAAATTTCTCATTTCCCAGGTCTATCCAAACAACCTTTAAGGCAATTTTCTTCTTGCCTTTTGGTTTGTAACTCGGTGATTGATTGAGAGCAGGGACATTTGAATTAAGTCTATTTCTCTCGTAAATATAATTCTGCACTCGTGTCATTAAGTCAATCCATAAATTCAATGCAACTGAGACGGGCAGTGACTTTTAGAACACTTTCGAATTACACGACGATGAAATTCACCACTGGCCCATTATTAGTGCTTAGATGTGACTTACGCGTAAAGTTTTTAGAATAAAGTGAGCTCTCAAAGCATATGTCCCACTTTCTCATCCTACACGCACAATGTCCTGGTGACAAGACAGAGCCCAGACGGGTGTAGATTGGAGTAGACGAGATAACAGGCGAGACTAAACTGCTCGTTTACAAATGCAAAATACGGCCTGATTCTTAGCTCTACATACAATAGTATTCACTACAAGGACCTCAGATCTTAAAGAAATGGAAGCAACCTAGAGGAAAGATTGAGTAGAAATCATTGCGATAATGATAAGGAAGGGTTAATCCCATCAGTTAAAAAACTTCAAGTCAACAGAACAGTCAGCTGTAGCGAAAAGATCGCGCGAAAGAGAGGAGGTTTTTGAAAGCAAATCATTTTGTGTGTGACTTCTGTTGGAGTTGGATGCTAGTCCTGAATTCCAGGAGCATCACATCACGAGACACACATTTCCTGACTGAACTATGCGGTTTCTGCTCATACACATGCTTGTTTCTAGTATCTCTGACTTTGCTGCTTCAGATATTCTGCCACTGCTATTTTGAAATACCTCGAGATTCAAGGCAACAGAATAAAACACTAAGATTTCGAATCAGCATTTTCAGTAAAAGTGGCAATACAGTCCGCCAAGGCATTCTACGAGATCTCCTAAACAGATTTTAATGTTTAAATTGGATGGATATCACGGGAATGTATATTCAACCACATAAAGGCAATGAGGAAGACTTTAAAGGCTTTAGTAATTGTACGCAGCATATTATTGGCTGAAAGCACACCATTTTTACGACAACTCGGTTGTTTTTAATATATTTTATGGAAATTGGAGATCTAAACCGTTGCAAGATGTTGGAGAAAACACATGGATGTGCTTGGGGCCCTCTGGTGGAAAATACTGTAGTTACACATGCAAAAAATTCCTTTGTGATGCGCATACGTCAAGTTACAGATGAGTTGGGCGGACTTATTAGAAGCAAATATGATAGTCAATGCAAATACTGTCGGAGGGGAACGAAGTTATTCCTTCGGGCGACACATGCAACCAATGATAGTCTTCTGCCCCATGACATGTCCGTCAATATGAGAACCAAGTAGGAGAATCGCCAAATTCTCCTTCAAGAACATGCCAATTGACATGGCAAGTCATCACTCGCTCGAGTTCATGCATTTGGTAGGCTTGATGGCAATAAGCAGTTATCATTACTAACGAAAAAAGGAATAAGTAAACTTCCATCCTCTGTGAACCAGGTGCATGAGACACAGGAAACACTTGTTCGCAAAATCTGCCTGAAGGTGCTGCAGAATAGTAGCAATTTCCACAATATCGAAAGTTTCTGCTTGACGCAGGATCAGTAGTTTTATTTCCATGCCCGATCTCGTCGCATTCAATAAATGCGCATAGTTCGCGGTATAAGTTAAAGTTATTCGGAATACGCAGACAACCCTGCCAGCACGTGGCCCCCTCTTGAAAGGGGGCCCAGAAGGGGCTATGAGGGGGCCAGCCCCCTCGAAGTTTTCTCGTTGGTAATGCACCATTAACAGGCATTACTCCGTGAATAAGCGTGCATTTTTCGGTTTAAATTTGTTTTTTGAATAGTAAAAAGTATTTTTGGACCTCGGCAGTTGTGCTTTTTACATATCTGGGCAATCCTGATATAATGCTCTTAATTGTTTAAGTGTGTCACTTTGCGGCACTTATCTCTCACGTGAGCTGCGTTCCTCTCGTTGTGAGTGCTAATACTGTCTACTGTGGTATGCGTGCATACGTTACTGTGGTATGTAACGAACTGTCCTTTTGCTATCTTTTATGATATTTTGTTAGTTTTGACCTGTAAATTTGTATTATCATTGAATAATTGCCTGTTGATTTAAGCAATATCAATGAGATATCCGTTGTAGCAGAGTCATCTGTAAAGCTGCACTTTGAGCCTTTGTTTTGTTGATTGCCAAGACTACCTGGATCCTGCGTTCCCTTCCTCAAATTTACTCATTTTTAAGGCCTCCCTTTTGGATAGCAAACTTACGAATGCTACTCTTGATGCTGGTTTCGCTCAAGACGCGGTATGTCCATATACTGACACTTCTATTATTTGAATGTATTATAGATTAAACGTCTGGCGATTACTGACGGGCGAAAGGAGAAAGAGTTTGTCAGAAATCTACTAACCATGACAGTTTGTAAGTATCCAATTTTTATCTTTATCGATCAATAAATTTTCGTTAACCTATAAATTGCGTTTAAGTGTGCTGATCGATATGGTTCGTTGGGGGGTTTGCAATCACGCGTGAAGGTCCGCTAACGATCGCGGGAGATATTGGCTTTGGGAAGGGGAGCCGGAATGAAACATGACATATTTGGCGATATGGGGTTCGCTAGAAGGCAACAAGGGATAAAATAGGACAGGTACCGGGGGAAATCTGTCTAGGAAAAGGGTAATCAGGATTATAACGCGAGTAATTAGACGTTAAGGGATCTGTATTACCGTCAGACAGTCTAATATGGCCAGGGGTGGTGGAAAAAAACGACAACTATAAGGCGTCCCCATGCGCATTTTTTTTTCGATGAGGGGGCCAGAGGGGGCCACATCGGGGAATTGCCCCGTCATAGCCCCCTCTCCAGCCCCCTCATAGCCCCCTCTGGCCCCGCCATAGCCCCCTCATGAGGCGGGGCCATGAGGGGGCCAGAGGGGGCTGGTGCTGGCAGGGAAAGCATTTGCCGAAAAATTCAATGATACTTAAGTACAAATTATGCAATTTTGCACAATATATAAAATGTTGCACGGATGGTGCGAAACGTTGTTTTGTTAATGGACGTGGAAATCATACATGCGCGATAATATGTATGCATATTATCACACCTGTGTGGCAGAACATTATGATAATGATACTCCGCCAACACCTGCCCAACTCAGCCAAATTCAGCCCAAAAAATACGAATAATAATGTGCAGAAATAAAATAAGGCCGAAGTGGATAACTGCTCCATGAAACTATTTAACATACAAGTCCACTTTGTATAAGATGCCTACGAATCCTCGGAGAACTGAAAAAGTGTACGAGATGGCGATCTGTGAGACTGTTATAATTTTCCAAAGGGCTGAAAAGAAAAAAAGAATGTTAAATCTCCTAATTCACTTAAAACCTCGTACCTTGAATCATTTAAGCTTGCCATTTCCAAAATAATATAGTGTACCTTTTCGACTACAGTCGAAATGGTTGTCAGTAGGAATTTTGCACGTATTGAACCGAAGAAACAAAAGGAGCTGAAATTTAATTTGGTCGCGTTTAGCAACGTTTCATTGTCTCACAGTACCAATCAAAATGCAAATCTGTACGGCAGTCAAAGGCGCTGGCATAAATTATTAATTCTACAAAAATCTGCATGGGCATGAAAAACAAATAAGGTTCTGACGTACTCATTTGAAATATGCCTAGGGCGTAAAGGGGATATCCGCTGCCCAAACGACAGGAGAATACTGCCATTTTCTTCGAAATAATGGCTGGTTTCAAACAGAAACGTACACAGATAACCGAAGTACAGTCTGGAAGGGGCGGATAATAATGAAGTGATGGATTTGACCAAGGTTGGACGTTGACAGATTTTGTTAACACATTTGATTTATCCGGGTGCCTGAAAATTTCAAAATATCTCGACGTCTTTCAGCATGGATTCGTGATTATAGAAAACTCAGGTTGGACGCTTTATTGCACAACGGGAGTGTAAGAATGGGTGGGAGCTTAATAGCTGGAAGGGTGCTGTGTAACAATAGCATAAACTGCGTAAGGGATTCGACTATAATCATATCCCAGAACAAACAATTACGATAAAAACGGACAAAACGAGACTAGTAGGACTAAGAAAATTGTGGACGGGGAACAGGGAAAAACAGAAAGGACAGAAAACACATGAAACATTGTCAAACAACTACGCTAAATGTTCGAAAACAAACGACTGTTTTTTTTAAACACAATGGGTCCGACGTCATAATTGTCAAAGAAAAAAGGCAACAGATGACTGTTTTAACGCGTAGACTTAGGATTTAAGCGGGTGAAACAATAATACATGTCCCCAAAGAACCGTATATGTCTGGGCGTCACAATTACCCTTACAAAATACTGTGACATTTTATGGACCGCTAGCTTGTGGAAATAAGAAATATTCCTTCTTGATAAACTGTTTCCGTCGATTTCAAGTCGTTAAGAAAGCTTTTTCGAGCTCATATACTTTCTCGCACTTTGATGATCTCAATGCCTACATGTATAACTTCGCCTGGTCGTATTGAGGATTATAAACCTTCAAACATGGTTCCCACGTTGACTGATAAAATAGTTAGTTAGGGTTTTCCTGAAAATTCGTATGCCTACCGGATACTAAGACAGTGAACAAGTTTGGTTGCAGGGATATGACCACATACATAAGTCGACAAAAAGGATACTGAGATCACACCAATGAGTAAAATCAAAAGGTAAGACAGACTTTCTACAGTATTTGGTTGAAGAACGCTGATATTATTGCTACTATAGGCGGTTAGTGGTCATAACTAAGTTACAGGTTGAGTGGCAATAGTGGTAACCTTGATGGGGTGAATGCTTTTCGGGGTTAGGTTCAGGTGTCGACTGTAAACTTTAACCCGAGTATAGGGATTACAGGAAACTTCGACTTAGAACTTGAAGACGACCCCTTGTTTTTTGGATTTACTTATAGAATAATAACTTACTAAATAATTTTCATCAAAGACCCATCGGGATCCCGTCAAAACAAGTAAAAGAAAAATTTCATATGAATTTTAGAGGAGGTAGGCGAATCCGTACAGTATGCAATTCATAGTTTCTGAATTAATAGTCCGTTAAGAAAAGTGATGAGCGAACAGTGAAGAAAAACTCCACTCAAGAATATGAAAAAACGATTGGATAAACTTTACGGGAGAAAAAAACTGTCGCTCATAATAATACAAAAATGCGGGCAGGGCCGGCCTGCACGTGGCGGTGTATAACGGATTATAATCGGACATGGGCAGGGCAGAAATAAATGTCAGCCTGGAGGGCTACGTATGCGGATCAAACAGGACTGGCCTGGGTGTGGTATTGTATAAGCGATTCAAGACGGAAAACGTCCGGGCAGGGTTCATACGCCGCATGAAACTATTAGCGTCAAAGTGTCTACAGGGTCTACCTATCCAAAATACCGTCTCCAACTGCTCGCTGAAGTTTGGAGAAACATCTACGAAGAGGATGAGTTGATCATGTTTCGGACTCATCCATAAGTTTTGGAAAATGGAGGGGGAGTTAAAAGGTCTAAAAATGGAGGTAGAAAAGTTAAGGAAGCTTACTCATCACTTACATGAAGAGAAGAATCGACGAATTCGGCAATCCAGAATCCGAAAAAAACATATGCAACCACGGCTTCTTTAGCCATATCAAACGCTGAAACTGACGATGGTTCGTCCAGGAAACTAGACACAGTTGAATGTCAGTCTCCTAGGCGAGAAAAAGACCAGCCAAAGCGAACTCAGAGAACAAAGAAACATCCCAGAAAAACAACGCGCACCTCTGTACGGTCCAAAAAACGAAGGCCGCTTGGGTATATGCAGACCAGCGAAGGAGGACGACCAGGAGGCCCACTAAGGACCGATGGAGGCTCCCAAATATGTTGAACAATAAGGATATCGGAACACCTGGTGGGCCGAATATTCAGGAGGAGACTTCGAAAGAAACAGAGGTAAGCTTTTTTGACGAACACCTCGGAAACATAACAGGAAGGGTTATCAACAAGAAGAAGATAAATGAATCGTACACGGATCTCAGTTTCGCTAGCCCAATAGCTAGATCATCCGAAACCAGCGAAACAAGTAAACTGGAGAAGCACGCTCAGTCACTCAAAAGATGTGTGACAACAGCGAGCACTAGTAGTAGTGAAAATCCGATTCCCAGGTGGCATATCAAAAGAAGAGTGGGCGTTCACCGGGAGGGGTTTATTTGAGATTCGACGTTTCGGGTAGTTTACTCGTCTACCCATCTTCAGGGACTGGGAGGTCCTGTGCACAGCACTCCTTATTATGGCGCCATTTGTCCAATGCGTGATCCGCCAATGCCGCCTGTGTGGCTGCATCCAACCCGCATGTCACCGTGACCGCGCCATAATAAGGAGTGCTGTGCACAGGACCTCCCAGTCCCTGAAGATGGGTAGACGAGTAAACTACCCGAAACGTCGGGTCTCAAATAAACCCCTCCCGGTGAACGCCCACTCTTCTTTTAACGAGCACTAGGTTCAGTCGCAATCAAAATGTAGTTATAAAAGGAGTACCCGAATCAACGGCAATAATTTCAAAAGAGAGAGTTATGCATGACTTAGACCTTCTTCAAGTGTATGCGAAAGGTTCGTTAAGAGACGATGAGTCACTTAATGTTCTCAAAGCGTCCCGAATAGGGAAGAGTCAGTCAGCATCCGGTTCCAATTCCCGGCCTCGACCCCTAAAAGTCATTTTGGAGACTAAAGCACACACCCAGCTCCTGTTACAGAGAAAATAATCTCTGCGGGGTCAGCATCCTGAAGTTATTTTTTCAGCCGGATTACGAGCCAAAAGAGCGAATGAAAATGAGAGAGCTGATGACGGAGCTGGAAAAACGGAGAAGCAGCGGCCAAACACACCTGCAAATCAAAAACGGAGAAATAATTCAGGTCAAAAGGACATTTCTCTGGCCGCAGGCCATCATTCTGACAGCCTAACCAATGCAAAGGTACCAACTCCTGAGGCTGCTCGCACCAGTGGCCGTTGTCTAGAAATCTATTACACTAACTGTCAGAGTCTTCTCAACAAGCTAGATGAACTCAGATTACTAGTCTCTGAACAGAAGCCACACATAATTGTTCTAACAGAGACATGGTTGACTGAGGAAATAAGTTGTAGCGAAGTCAGAATTGAAGGCCACCAACTGTTCCGTTGTGACAGATTTCAGCGTAGAGGAGGAGACAGCGATTTATGTGTCAAATGAAATTGCGTGCTGTCAACGAGAAATATCAGATGGTGCGCCCCGAAATTTTGAAATAATTTCATGCAAGATATGTATCAAACAATTACCGAAACTGAACCTGTGTGTAGTCTATCGGCCTCCTAGATCGAATGAAATCGCCGACATGGAATTACTTAGTGCACTGGAGTTGTTATGTAAGCAGGAGAACTTACTACTTCTGGGTGACTTCAACGCTCCAGGAATAGACTGGAACATCCCCCTAACAAACGCCCCGTCCACGTCATTTGACCGCAAGCTACTTCAACTCTCCCTGAATGAATACCCCATTCAACACCTAAAATTCGGAACAAGAATGAGAGTAGGACGACGATCTAACTGTTTAGATCTCGTTTTCAGTAAAGAGGAGGTACTCATAAGGGAAGTGAATCCACAACCTCCACTCGGTTTAAGCGATCATATTGCTTTTACCTGCGTGTACTCTCTCCTATCCAACCAACAAACAAAAACCAAGACGCGCGGAAATATTTGGAAGGATGACTTTAACGCAATGAGACGCACTCTTTTGGAGGAAACCTAGTTGGTCAACAAAGAAGATTCAGACGAATTTTGGCAATACTTTCGCGGGATTATAGAGTGTCTGATTGATTCCCATTGTCCAATAAAAGTGACAAGACCATGTTCGCGACCGCCGTGGGTCAATCCGACGACAAAAAAGACCACGAAGAAGAAACAGAGACTCTGGAAAAAGTATTTGAAACTTCGAGATCCAAGGTCACTCGCCGATTATAAGGATCAGCGCAATAAATGCCGCAAACAAACACGGGTTGTTAGAACTTCTTTCGAGCGTCGACTGATAGCAGAATCCATTACATGTCCCAAGAAGTTTTACGGGTACATCCGCAGTGGAAGGAAACATAGGGACGAAATTGCGTGTTTAAAGGATAGCCTCGGAAACGTATTAGTTGAAGGGCCACAGAAAGTGCAATTACTGTCTCAGTTGTTCCAATCGGTTTTTACGGAGGAGTCCCCAGAAGACAATCAGCAGTTTGAAATGGACCGAGACAGTCAGGAGCCTCAAATGCGCCAAGATATTGCCGTCATTAAAACCGTCGCCGTTTCTGTCGAAGAAGTCAGACGCGTCCTCAGTGAAATAAAACCTGCTAAGTCTCATGGACCCGACGGAATTCCCGGGTTGATACT